GCAAAACCGAACTCCAAAAGAGCTACAAAAGGATAAAAATAGGATTCCAAAAATGTACTTTACGGGAAAAAAGGCCTATTTTTACTCAGAGGCGACCTACCATGGGTCAACTACACATTATGGATGGAATGAGAACGGGAATAATTGTGACCCAACTTCCCTGTATCCACTTTAAAACTACCTCACGGCGAAGCCAAAACGATTTTATTAATGCTAATCCTTCGAAAAAGAGACAAAATTTGCCTATTTCCAGTGTGCTTTGAAGTTATGCGATTTGCTGTTCGTTACTGGATTGGTTGCGCCCAAAAATGCAGTCAAACTCAAACACGACCTTGAATTTGCCGATGGAGAAAAAGACTTGCCTGGGTTTCCAGGATTTCCTGCGCGGAGAGCTGCATATCTCCAGTGCATTCCTTCACACGCACACCGAGCGGTGCCAGGCGTTCACCGAAGGTTGCTGCCATCTCCGCCGCCAGTGCCTTCATGGGGGCCATGTAGACAATCTGTGGAAAGACATCAGCATCAAAAACTTTCGATTCCGCATGCCTTGACCACTCCGGTTTGGGCTGGATATTGGCCTTACTCAAGCAAATATACATCAGTTCATAAAAAGTGGCGAAGCAGTATCCTTTAAAGCGCCTGAACAACATTCTAAAGCCTCAACTGGCATAAGTCGAGCAAATTCGAGCCAAATTATCATTAATAGACGACAGAGTTTAGCCCTTTTTTACCGTCAGAAAGAATCGCTAGTCTGCCGATATGTCAACAACAGTATCACAGAGTATTTGGATTCAGAATCTAGAGTCAACTTTCGATTCAACAAGTATAAGATCGGTGGAAAGTGTGATTTCCGCTACGGAAACTAGGAAGGTTGAACATGAGGGGCAGACCAACTTCATTCTACCAGAATTTTCGAAGGACTGCACCAAGGCTGAAAGATATATTGAGGAAGCAGTCTTCGCTCTTCAGTTTGCGCTACAATCCCCTGATGTTAGCAAAATGCGACGTTGAGGAATACGTAACGTACGCAGGAGAAGTGAACTATTTCAAATGCCTCCAATTCGTCTGACTTGGACATCCACACCCGTCTCCTGAGCATGATAGGAGAAGATCCCTCTACGGCCCCACGAATAGCAGAGACCGAACGCCAACGCCTGGGTCAGTCCCAAGCATGTCACCATTTACATTCAGCCTGGGGACCGAAACAACTCCCAAGTTTTTGTTGTGAGTCAACTTAAGCAGTAGGTCCCATAAAAACCCAGTTTCTCCAAATCTACCTAACGTCTCAACGACCAACACAGGCGCCAAGGGCAAGAAAATGGCCCCTTCCCTCCGCTTTCATTGCAAGGCTTGGCATTTTGACAAGTTCAGCTGCCACAAACACAATCAACACAACCAGCGCAAAAATGTTGATCGCAAAGGTGGGCACTGTCCAATCCCAGCCAACTGTTTCCAAGGCGAACACCAACAAGTATAGGAAATAAAGTCAAAATATGCCAAATAAAATTTGCAATGGATGCAGCCCAAGGAACTTTTACCGAGCCAATACGAATGGCTGCCGGAAATACAACATCGTTTATCGCACTAGATATCTAGCGAGGTGTTAGTTGGATCCCGCTTCGGACATCAGTTTATCAGGGAATCCATGGCGCCGACTTGCAGTCGGTAACTAGATGAAGCTCTCTGAACAAATCCAATGCTGAATATCCTTCCGTGGAACATGATACACCACCTAAGACAACTTAAACACACCAGATCTTCACCGGTTCAACAGACTGGATCTGGACGAAGCACCGATCGAAGATATCTTCAATCAGACGCGTTGATCTAAAGCACCCCATGAGCGGCCGCAGAAAATCGTTGATTCAGCTACACATACTTGACCTATTCCACCCAAAATCATCCTCCTCCAGCGTATTGGCCTCAATCAGAAAAGTAATGGTGGCGTTTCCATCTCGAATTCATCGACCCTATCTACGGCATCCATCACTCCCTCTGATAAACACCTTTTCAATGTGGCCGAAGATGGCACCTACAGTCACTCCTAAGACAGCAAGACGCTGCAAGTACTGCAGCAGATTTTCAGCCAACACAGACTCCCAAAGAGTGCTGCGGTAGTTCTGTGACTTTTTGCATTAACACGCCATTACACATATTCGCTCCACAATCCATTTGGCAAACAAAGCGATTCGTCGACACGTTCAAGTCAGGACTACTGAAGTAACGAGAGGAGATATAATTCCTTCCAAAACCACCAATCACAAATCGAGGGACTGACAGGACCCAACCTTCTATTGCCCAACACGGCGATGAATCCAAGGTAGAAAAACGAACCAAAAGAGCATGTACCATAAGTCTCAAGGAGACTCAAAACCGACATTGACGCACACGCCAGCGATTACCTGTTAGGATACGATCAGCACAATACGTTGGAAAGATTTCACCGAAACAGAAAAACCACATTCGACGTCAAAATTGAAAATGACACCAAAGAGCATGAAGTGGAGCTTGACATTGCAGTCATTCCTCTATGTAGCAAGCAACTGCGTCAGTAAGTTTGAAACCCACATTCCTTTACTTTGATTGGTCCTGAATACCCGCCTAATTGAGTGTACACTGTTACCACGACTATTACGGTGAACAGACTGCTCAGTACTTAATGATGAGAATTTTGATTCCAGAGTGTGATTTTAACCTTGGAGCTAACCCACATGTTACTTGAAAAAGCTGAATCTTGGTGCGTTAAACTAAAAGCAGATTGTGAGAGCGAAAACACTTTACAAACTACACATAAAATTAACACCTGCAAAATCCAAAATGGTCACTGATCTACCAACAAGGTATGCCACTTCAAACACATCCACAGATGGTAGTGATCTAAGCAGTTCAAGGAATATTTTGCGAAAAAAATCAAATTTATAAACGTCAGTGAATAAATGAGTTAATTACCAAACTTCGGTGGTCAAGTATACAGATTAATGAACCGAGATGGTGAAGCGATTGTAGCCTATTGAATAAAATTTGAAAGGATTTTAATCAGACTGTGGAAACAATGTAATAGACGAGGAAAGGCCTAAAAAATGGTGACATTCCGAGGTTGATTAGAAAATTGGGCCGAAGATCCCTCTCTTAGACACCAAAATCTCAAGCTGAATGTGATGGATACTAGACTACTACTTCATGTGAGCCACGAAAAGGAATGTCAACTCGAAAATGCGCCCAGTATATACATTTTTCTCCACTGTCTAAACCTCGATTCTAAAATTTGGGCTCACCTTGAAGTTCCCTGTCTCCAGCACACCAGTCTCGGAGTTAATGTGTTGTCGAATAAGGTGAAGGATGGTAAGTAGCGCCGTATTTGTTTTACCCGATCCTGTGGGCGCTGAAATGAGAAGGTTTTCCCCTGAGTTGTAGGCTGTCTCAAACACCACCGACTGGACCAGATTAAGCCGCCGTACACCCTTGAAGGCCAGCTGAGCGACGCGATCGAGAGACGTGACCTCCACCAGTGAACCGCCGTTGGGTAAATGCCTCCGCACCAAGCTCACTCTTGAATCCTCATTCTCTCCTGGCCTAATTGGCGAAGGGAATTCATAGGACTCCCATTCGGGTGTTTGCTTGTGCTTCGTATCCTTGGGTAGGACCATCTAGAGAGGTGTCGAGTGTAAAAAGTTCTTTTGTATCGCTACCATTCTTTCAACATGCCTAAGATATCCATGGAATTACACTGTTTCTTACATACAAGGAACGGTAAGGTCAAAGATTCAAATTCGAAAGGTTTGAGACTGTGGTGGTACTATGCGTAGTCGTAGCAGCTGTTGCATGTGGTGCCTAAGTCAGCTCCGACTCTGTGAATCCAAAAGAGAGGCACGTGATATTTTATACCAGCATAACACAGCGTGTGATGAATGGAGTTTATTATGAACGAAGACATAAAATCCAAAGTCATTGACATAAAAACGAAATGAAGGGCTATAACTTTAAGAGGCATACGCTGCAAGCTAGAGCTTAGCGTTTATTATGAGAAAGACACATCCGTTGCCGCCTTCCCCTATAGCTATTTCCAACTAGTCAGCATTATCTACCGCCACAGCCTGCTCACTGATCCGATCAGTGAATAAGACTATTAAAATTGCCTAGCAGAAGAAAACCACCCTCTCACACCACCAACTAAAGTGATCATAGGCTAGTCAGCAGCTAGTCCACTTCTTGGCTGTCTAGAGTCGTCGGAAAAATTGCAAAATGAAGTACGCCACAAAACTTATGGAAGTATCGGTGTTTTACGGAGAACCACTTCAAAACACGACCAATCTAAAACATATTCGAAGCTAATGTGAGCGGGAGACGCACCTCAGAACGCCTCATATTAGGCCGTGAGGTCATTATTTCGGCCATGATGTCGAAGACAAATGGGAGAGCCTTGGACGGCGATTGCTGACTGTTTGCGGTAGCAATGGAACGGTAGTAGGCCTCGCTGGCGGTGTTTCGGGCGTGGGTCGCGGCAGCAAGGAGGCTGGCTTGGTGCATGTCCTCCAGCACCTTTGCGTCCTCCAACAACTGCTTCACCACATTAAATCTATTCGCAGTCGAACCAACCCGGTTTTTGAGCTTGGCGTCCTAACAGAGGAAAAGACCATGGGAAAGCATTAATGGGGTCTCCGATTATCGACTGGTGAGGCAGTGATAATATGATGAACATCGTAGTCATGAATTTTTAAATTGAGAAAGTGAATCGCCATTTGGAATCGGAATCTTTCAGATTAACAATGCAGTTCTTGTCGACAATATTTTTGAGACAGTTGCGTTATTGGGCAAACTACTAGGCCATGGAATAAGATGCAAAGCAGTCAATGTACACATGCATGTGATTGCTAACACTGTAACGGTGGTCTCTTCTGCGCTACCTATGAGTAGAGTAATGCGAAAACAATTACCTTTGTTTCCGACACGACCTCATTGTGTTCCGTTGGCGACGAAGCGAGGTCAAATATGAGTTACGATTAAAATTTCTACCCAAACTATTGCTGTAATTTATGGTATCCGAGAAAATTACTGGTCAGCTACGATGAAATCTTTAACTAGCTATTGACGGAGCAATTCAACTTTATCAAACACAGCAACATGGCGGCAGAATGATAAGCCTATTTAAACATCCTGATTCATTCACTTGTCGATTAGTCCAAAAGCGTAGGTCAAATGCTATTGACTGGTTCCAGGCTATGATTCAATTTCAATATTATGATCGCTAGCCACAACTTAATTCCTCAAAGTGCTGTGCATTCACCGGTGACGCTTTTGCCAGCCAATCACATCTGCCCTTAATGCTTTGAAATGTATGCGTTGTAAGGTGGAAGGCATGGCTAACAGTTACATAAATTAAATGACAATAATATCGACTCATTTTCATTACTAACCTCCCAAGACTGAGCTAATGGGACCTCCACTTGATGATCACGCACAGATATTTTAGCTAAAGCAAAAGACATCGATTCAGAGTACATCTAGAGAGTACAAAGACACGAGACGAACCTTAACTTTACGTTGGGTGGGATTGCTGCAGTTGGAAGTGGGTTTACCATCCCTTGTAAAGGCATCCTTATGGGCCAAGTACCATTTGTACCATCTAAGCCATTCAGTACGCTCACGAATGAGGGCTGCCACCGTGTCGAATTGATCAAAACCCATCATATCGATCAACTGCAGGAAAAAACCTGTACATTCGAGGGGTCAAAATGCAACTAATAATCGGGGCAACGAACTGACTCACCTCACTCTGGAGTGAGTCACTGGGATGACTAGATTTCAACACCTTGAATATCATATCTACAACCTGGGTAATGTCCATCTGGAGGTTCTTGCAAACGGGTTCTAGAAGGCCTCTCAACCGTGACCACTCGTCTGGTTTCACAGACCCATTTTCTGTTGGCTTGGTTAATTGGTTTCGTTGAATCGAGGCCTCCACGTTCCTTCTGACTGCAATTCTAGCAAAAAAAATATTTGTAAAATATCAACGTACTCGAGAGCGTCGAGATTAAGGGCACCATCCCTTTTACTAGACAGTTCAGAGGTGACTGAAAACAGGTCACTAAGCGTGGCAGCCTCAACTTCTCCGAAGTCATTATTATCTAGGTTCCGCATATCGAAGTCAGTGCCTTCATTCTCTGAGCCACTGACTTCGCACCAAGCTCGACGAATGAGTGCCAGCAGAGCCATCTTATCCACGTGGGAATTTGTCCCCAAAGTAAAGATAACCTGTCGGAGGTCATGGAGAAGGGTACCAAGCCGATCGGCCGAAGCAATGTTGACCCCCAAGAGATTGCAGATATCAGACAGACGTTGTTGAACATCGGGCTGAACACGGAAGTTCTTCACAGATGCATTTGTTTCCATAGACCGAAAGATAAGCACTCCCAGCCCACCGAAGAAAGCCAGGGGAGCTTTAGCCTCCTGGGAAAGCGACACTTTCCGACAGGACGCAAAGAAACTCTTGAGAGCTGTGTTAAGGTCAGAATTTCCATTCCGGATGTCGAGTTGA